AAAAGAAAGAAAAAAATATATATTTGATCGGATGCATATATTACATAAAATCATCTTTAAGCAATATTTAGTCTGACAGACCCAACCTAAAATGGGGGAAATTTTCCAGTTGTTAATATCATGAAGGCCAGCAGAGGGCAGCATTTCCCTTTCTAGAGAACCAGGGAGCCAGGGAATCTTCTGGAAATGACAAAATACCGCATTATGTTTTTACTGCTGTGGAAAGATGGAGGTGTAGCAACCAGTGAACGGTAATCAAAAACAATTCACAATCAGTGGCACGTTAAGGGGATTACATTCCAAATAGCTTGACCAATGTTAAGTATTAACAAAAATTAATTATGGAAAAACAATTTGTTTAAAAGTAAAAGGTAGTAAAAAAATTTAGAATGGTCAATTTAAACCATAGATTTCTTGAAAATCTTACAGTAATGAATGAAGCATGCAATTTTGAAATCTTGATTCCATGACCTTGAATAAAAAATATCTTAATGGTTTTTATTATAACTTCATATTTTAAAAAATAGGCAATATATTAACACAGCTCAAAATTTAAGAGGGTATACAGTGAAATCTCTCCTGTCCTCAGGCTTTCAGTTCATTTTCATAAAAGCAAACCAATGTCACCAGGTTCTTGGGTCTTTGTAGAGCCATTCTAAGCATACATGTAAGCTATTCTGAACATAAGATTAATTGCAGCATACCACACAAACTGTTCTGCATTTTGCCCACAGATATGTACTTGGATGTCTTGGAGAGATTATACCTTGGATATTCCACATCGGTACATTAGGAAGAGTCCTCACGTTTTAACGGTTGCATAATTCCTGATCTCATATCTAACCAGTTTCCTGTTGATTGGACCTTTAGGTTGCTTTTAACTTTTTAAATAAAAAGCAAATTTTTTTGCTATTATGAGCAATGCTGCAGTAGGAAATCTGATACCCATTTGTATGTGAGCCAGTATCCTCAATAAACTGCTTTTCAAATTAATAGCCTCAAAAGCTATAGATATACTCGAGAGATTTTTTTTTTTCCTGTTTTTGGCTTTGGAGTGAAAGAAAGCTAAGGACAAGAAAGAGCCCACCTTTATTTTTCTGCATGCCTTGTAAGTGATTACAGTGATTCTGAAACCTTGTTCATTTTTCATGTTCAGCATCCCTACCACAGGGCTGGGCACAGTGTGAGAACTCAAAACTTACTTATTTAGTATCACTTTGTTAAATGCTACAAAAAGTACAAAAGGAGTTAAGACAATTATTATAGGGTGGCAGTTCAAACACATAAAATTTTTAAGAATAAGGGAGTGTGCAGTGGCTCACATCCATAATCCCAACACTTTGGGAGGCTAAGGTGGGAGGATAGATTGAAGCCAGGAGTTCAAGACTAGCCTGGGCAACAGAGCAAGACCTTGCCTCTTGAAAAAAAATTAGGAATAAATGTCATTTTGGGATTAAGCAAGTAATTGAAAAGGTTAGAATTGATTAATAGTTTTTTTGAAGGAATTAGACTTGAACTGGGTGGACCTTAATCAATAATTTGTGTAAAAAAAAATTCCAGCAGCAGGAAGGCATGTGAAAGGCAGCATGATAAATTAAATGCTAGAATGAGAATAAAGATACAAAGACCTGGGAAACAATTATATCTGTTTGGTGGGATTTTGCAGTGTGTGTTTGGGATTACATAGGTTGGGGCCAGGTTGTAGGAGCATTTGAAAAACAGGCTGGCTCATTATATGAGATTTCTAAACCAGAGAACAACAACATAAGACAGGTTTGATCTGGAGATGGCGTGAATGGAAGCAGGGAAATCAAATGACCATTATAATCCTACCAAATGGAAATGGTAAACCTAATTACTTTAAAAAATAATGGAGACTATAATCACATTGAAAAACACTTGGTTTTTATTGACTGTCACTGTGAAAAGATACACTTATGAACAAAGGCACAAATACAAAGAGTTACAATAGTGTTTGGGGTTATATGTAATTTTTTTCAAACAAATGAAATTTGGCAATGGTAATTATTATAAAAAAGGAAAAAAATATGCCTCGTTTACATTGTCTAATTTGAACCCCATGATAAGCCTATTAGATAAGGGCAGACACTGTTATCATCATTTACAGATGTGGAAATTGAACTCTGAAAGATTATTTGCCCAAAATTACTCAGTAAGTACATGTCACTAGTTAGTAACAGAGGAGGAACACAAACCCAGATCTTCATAGGTCAGATGACGTGTTGGCAATAGAATGGGGAAGACTCTTCATCCTTTTAGACAGTTTGTTTAATCCTGTTTCACCAGTGTAACCCTTGCTTCATACTCTCAAGTAGGGAAGGTGGTAATATAATATCATGTAACAATTAACTTTAAATGGAAATTGACAAAAAAAAAAGTGTTCCTACCAATTACCAAAAAAAAAAAGTGGGGGGGGATTGAGACTGAGAAACAGATATTCTCTCATTACATATGCTGTGTGGGCCATACCAGTTGCATTCAGGAAATGTTCCAAATGAGGGTCCTGTCATTTGGAATGTCATTGGCAGGCCTGAATAGAGCTTTCAGTAGAATAAAAGTCAAAGGGAAATGTCCACATACTTCTAAATATGCATCCTTAAAAAACAGTATTGCCCATATGTAAGAATACTGAAAAACTATGGATTACCATTCAAGCCTGGCAGCAATTTGTGAATCTTCTATCCTCACTCTATCCCTTTAAATGGAACTATTCTCTCTTTTCTGAACAAAGCCTACATTTTCCAACCTCTGAATTTTGCTCGTGCTTACATGCAGTAGCCTTTCTCACCTGTGCTTGTTGAAATTGTATTCATTCTTCAAGAAGCACTTTAAATACCTCTTTCAAGAAGCCTTTCAAATACCTCTTCCAAGAAGCCCTTCTTTCACCCCACTCCTTCCCTGTTCTCCTATAGCCTCCCAACATAAAACTTCTTTTGTAGTATTTATAAACTTTCTTGTTTTAGAGTTTGTGTAGTTTCCTTATTCTTCCTATGCAATTATTAGATTCCTTCAAGAGGAGGCTATGACTTAACATTTACTGAGCAGTTACTATGTCAGAGGTGCCAGGAGTTTCAGTTAATATGTACAATAGCAGCTAGTGTTTATCAAGTATTTACTGACCTAAACAGTACTCTAAATGCTTTGCCTGTATTAAGCCATTTAATTTTCATAATAACCCTATGTGGCAGGTACTACTATTATTACCCCATTTTGCAAATGGGAGAAACTAAGGTCTAGAAATTTGAATTAATTTAGCCAAGGTCACAGGGATAGGAGATGTTTGAGTCATGACTCAAATCCAGATATCCTGCCTCTGGGGGCCCTAGGACTCACCCTCCGTTTCAAAGATCTTCCTTCCAATGAAGAGAAGCTTAGTCTATTTCATTGGGTTTATGCCCCACTAGAAAGTATGCCTCTCCTCCAGCCCCTCTGTCCTTGAACAGTCAGGCATCCTGTTTCTGGCTATTAGGCCCCTGAAGAAACCTCCTTATAAACTAATTCTAACTGCCAGGAAGGCTTAGAGTGCCCAACCCTGAAGACTTGGGGTTCTATGCTACTCTTTGGATCATCCCACAAACTGAAAATAAAAAAAAAATTAACTCCTGTTTGATTGCTGCTACATATTGGTGGATTCTTGCTATATCCCCACAATTAGCTATATTAAAAATCACTAAAACTAGAGTTCTTAACCTGGGGGCTAATAAAGACTTCCTGAAATTTTATTTAAAAGCATTTTTCTGGGGGAAAAGACCCATAAGTTTCATTGGATTCTCAAATGGATTCAGAGTTCCTGTAAAACCTTCGTAGACCTTCAGGCATTTTTCTTTTTGGAAGCTCCAAGTCCTCTGATCAAACAATGAAACATATAGAAACTCATATTAAATATAATTTTTACCTACTTATCAAATACTTCATTTGACTAATTGTAATAAAGGTATATTTTATGGACATGTGATTAAGTATTATTTTTGACTTTTCAAGTTTCCTTTTTGTATTTTAGAGCCAATACATTTTTTAAGGTCACAAACATTTTCACAGGACCTTGGAAAGCTTATAGGCCCTAGATGCTATACCAAATGGCTCTGAATGGATTACTGACACACAGGGTCAGGAAGCACTGTCCTGCCCTGAAGTGTAAAGTCCAGATGACTGCCTCCTCCATAATTTCCCTCTATTCTTTATTACTTAATCCCCTTCCTGCTCCTCAGTCTTCCTCTTTCTCCTACAGCCTTGAGAGTCTCTTCCTTTACCCCAACTAAGGATGAGGTGACAGAATTCTCTTCTCTTTCTTTGGTCCTCTTTTCTCCGGATCCTAGGAACCCCAGAATGGAATCTCTCAAATCCTGGTGGTGGAAGGGGCAAGCTAAAGGATGCACAAAGAGCTGGAAACTCACAATGAGCTTTTCTCTGGATACCATGAAGTGCCATGGTGAGATGGACAGCTGTGTGGGGAGGGGAGCAGAGGGAAGAAGACTTGTCAGCCAGCCATTCCATACCTCAGACATTTGCATGATCCCAGTTCAGCTAAGGCTCCAGACATGGCAAAGCAGAGACACAAACCTCCCTTCTGTGCCTTGTTTGAATTCCTGACCCTCAGAATTGTGAGAATTATAATTGTGAGAACTATATCACAAATAACAAATTATTATTTTAAGCAAGTAGGTTTTGGGGAAGTTTATTAAGCTGTAATAGTTAACTGGAACAGATGTTTTAAACTAAGGTAACCAACTATTACTTTAATTCATAAATGTGTATACATACATTACATAAAAAAGAAATTAAGTACACGGTATATTTTAACCCTTTGCACTTGGATGTCGACACGGTTAGCAAAAATTATAGAGACTAAAATTACTCTTTGAATGCATCAATAAATTGAAATATTAAAAAAGCCAAATAAATAAGTTTGTATGAAAAGAAACTACAGTTTTTTATTCTAGTGCTGCGCTTTGTAAAATCTGGGGTATTTAAAAAATTAAATCCCGAGTAGAATAAAGGAATCGAGAAAAAAGCAAGTGAATGCAAAGGGTTAAGAATGTGTCTAATAGGTTACTTGTACAAAATTTAAATGAATTTAAGCAAACATTTTTGAAATGAGTTAATCATATATTTAATATTAAGATTTAGGGCTCTTAAAAAGTTATTAAGATTAAAAAAATAACTGAGAATGCTTCAACATTGGTGATTAATCCACCATGGTATAATTAACAAGAATGACACAGATCACTTAAATTGCAGGAAAAAAATTATGTTGATCCTTCCTATGTCTTATATCCATATAAAATGTCATGCCAAAATACCGCCCAAATCAAAAACAACAAAAATATGATCAGCTCTATATCTTGGAATCAAAAATCTGAAAGCATCTGTCAGTGGACCCACACAAAAGCCTTATACTGATTAATGGAAAAGTAATAACTCATTGGGCTGTTTCCAAGAGACACGGATTCTTGGTTTCAGAGTTCCTGAGCTGCTCACTCACTGTGCCAGAACAGCTGACTTCCCACAGGGTATGCTTCAGTATCTCAGCAACTGAGGCTCGGAAGCGAGCTTGGAACTTCTTACTAATTAGCACGTAAAGGATGGGGTTTAAGCAACTGTTGAGGAATGCCAAGCCCGTGGAGAGGGGGATGCCAGCCTGCAGCACCTGGTGGAAATGGCTGCTGTGGTGAATGGTGAGCTCCCAAATGTTAAACAGGTGATAAGGAGTCCAGCAAATCAAAAAGGCCACAACTACAGCCAGGACTGTCCAGAAATGCTTACTAGAGATCAGGATGCTTCGCTTCTTCACCTTGAAGATGAGACACAGGTAGCAAATACTCATTGTTAGCAAAGGAAAGAGATACCCAACAAGAAATTTCACCCAGGTCAGAACGTGGTGCCTTACCACAGTGAGGTCAGGATTATGCTCGTGGAAATTGTTATAGCAAAGAGTATGGTTATTGAACTCCACAGTGTCCCGGAAGTATAGGGCAGGGCCACCAATTAGAGAAGCCAAAAGCCAGATGAATATAACAACAATTAGGGAGTTCTTTAGGGTTCGGTGCCGATGAGACATGATAGGATGGATCAAGTGGACGTAGCGGTCCAGGCTGATCACTGTCAGGAAAAAAACACTGGCAAACATGTTCAACTGGGCAATGAAGGAATTGGCCTTGCACAACCAGATGCCAAAGGGCCAGTGGAAATTCATGGCTACATAAGAGATGTACAGGGGCAGGAAGAGAACAAAAATGAAATCTGCGATGGCCAGATTGAGAAACCAGAGAGTGGTCACTGTCTTCTTCCACTTGAATCCTGTGAACCAAATGACAATGGCATTTCCAGGAATTCCCAGAACAAATGCTAAACAATATAACATCAGGGAAACCCAGTGAACAAGTCCCAGGCGGCCTTTCTCCTCCAAATCAGACTCCGGAGAGTAATATTCCAGGGCATAGGAATAGTTCTCAAATTCTTCAAATAATGTTTCCTCTAGATCTTCCATGACCTTGCTAAGTGGAGAATGAGGAAATCTATGGAAGCAAATTTAAAAAGAAAGAAAAAAATGTTTTAAAGAAAAAGAAAAGTTCAATGAATGATAAGGAACATTAAGGTAAAAATACTTCATCTTATGGACCAGTCATAGTAAACTTTTTGGTAGATGATTATACTCCAGATGTCCAAGTCTCGGTGGGCCTCAGTTTCATTCTGATTTCATTCTCAAAGCTGTGAGACCTCATTTTTGTAAAATGTTTAGTAATTGTTAAATTAAAATGAATGACTCTACAGGTTGTTCATAATGCTTATAAGGCTGAGTTGAGAAAATCTAACCCTTAATGAGCATTTATTAGGTTCCTACTAATTCCTACTAATGGCAGATGCAAAAGAAAAATGATTAATACTTACACAATGCTAACTTCAAAATCTGTATTTGTAGCCCTAACTTCTCAAGCTCTTGACAAAGAGTTCCAACTGTTTCCTAGATATATCCACTTGGATGGTGCAAGTAAGCACTGAAGATGTTGACCCTCTATTTTGCACCCAAGGATGTTTTGATTCTATGTGTATGAAAGCAAACACGGTAATCCAAATTATATCAGTATGGATGGCTTTTCATCCAAAAGGTATCTTTTTTTTTTTTGAGACAGAGTCTCACTTTGTTGCCCAGGCTAGAGTGAGTGCCGTGGAGTCAGCCTGGCTCACAGCAACCTCAATCTCCTGGGCTCAGTGATCCTACTGCCTCAGCCTCCCGAGTAGCTGGGACTACAGGCATGTACCACCATGCCCGGCTAATTTTTTTGTATATATATTTTTAGTTGGTCAATTAATTTATTTCTATTTTTGGTAGAGACAGGGTCTCGCTCAGGCTGGTTTCGAACTCCTGACTTGAGCAATCTGTCTCAGCCTCCCAAAGTGCTAGGATTATAGGCGTGAGCCACCGCGCCCGGCCCAAAAGGTATCTTTTTGAGTAAACTTGATTGTGACCACTTAATTTCTATATTAATTTCCTAAAGAATGTAATTCAGCTTTATTTTTTATTTTTTTGAAATTCATTTATTTTGAGTTAATTTGATTCCTTCCTGTAATCATTTATGACAAAGATGTTAATCAGTTTTACTTTATTTTTTGTCCATACCAAATTTTATCTCTTATAATTTCTACCAAAGTAAGTTTTGTTTTGTGGGTTCCCCCCTCCACCTTTTTTTTCTTACCAAGGCCAGTTTTCCTGGGTTAAGAAGACTTGAATGTCAAATTTTCAATCAAAACAAAATGTACTGGGTGCAATCCTGGCTTCTTCAATTTTATTTGTGCTATTTCTTTCTGTAGTATTCAAGATCAAGTAGAAAGAAGATGAATAGTTGTATTCATTTCATGGAGCTACAATCATAAATGGGGAAACAATGTAAGACTTGGGATTACAGTTGGTTACAATGAACAGGTCAAAACATCCTGTGTTGCTCACAGGCATCTCAAACTCAACTTGTCTATCACTGTTCATCAACCTACCTTAAATCTTCTGAGAAATCTGGCAGGGCATAATTAAAAGACAAAAGCAATTCATTAGCTTCCTCCCAACCCCAGACCCAGCAACCTATTTTTGTTCTTCAATATTCAATTCAAATGCCACCTTTCTTGGAAACATTTCCTGACATTATCTTCCTGCAGATAATTATGATAATAATTTTTTTTTTTTTTTTGAAACAGGCTCTTGCGCTGTTGCCCTGGCTGGAGTACAGCGGTATAATTATAGGTCACTGCAGCCTCCAACTCTTGGCCTCAAGCCATCCTCCTGCCTTGGCCTCATACTTAATATCATTGCCAAACTCTCTCTAACCCTGACCAACAGTTCTATCCCCAGGATCTTGGCTTATTCCTTGACAACAAATCCAATCCTTTGTGTAACCTTTGTGTATCCAGTGAATAAGAATTGACTCATTTTTGCTGCCCTGTTTTTTCAGGCCTGGGATGTGATCCTACCTTCTCCCGCTCCTCCTGGCTTACCCTCCCTGTCTCAAATTATTTCCAGCCTAGTCTCAGACTCCTTCTATTGGTTTTCTGCCTATGTACTAAGACACCCTTACCTTCCTGGTGCCTATGACCTGTTCTTTTAGGATATTAACAATTTTGAAGTCAAATAGCCCAAGTGGTGGCCTGAATCACCTTCTAAAACCCTAAGTAGTGCGTAGAAGGAACCTTATTCCCCAAACAAAGAAAAGCCCATGGAAGACCCCTAAAAGCTCACAACCACCATACTCACCAAAATCTCCCCCATTCAATGTACATTATATCATTTCATTAAGAGTAAATTAGGCTGGGCACGGTGGCTCACTCCTGTAATCCTAGCACTCTGGGAGGCTGAGGCAGGAGGATTGCTTGAGCTTAGGAATTTGAAACCAGCCTGAGCAAGAGCAAGACCCCATCTCTACTACAAATGGAAAGATATTAGCCAAACAACTAAAAAAAAAAAAAAAATAGAAAAAATTAGTCCGGCATGGTGGCGCTTGCCTGTAGACCCAGCTACCGAGGAGACTGAGGCAGTGGGATTGCTTGAGCCCAGGAGTTTGAGGTTGCTGTGAGCTAGGCTTTTGCCACAGCACTCTAGCCTGGGCAACAGAGTGAGACTCTGTCTTAAAAAAAAAAAAAAAAAGAGTAAATTAATATCTGTAGAAATCTTTCTTTTAGTAAAACAAAAAAAAATTTTAATTATAGCCAACTGGACCACATACAAAATTCCTTAATAAATTCCTTTTTATAAACTTTATTTCAACCTACACATACACTATCTATAAAACATGCCTAAAAACTTTTCCTTTTGTCCTAATATTCCCTTTTGCTAAATAATCAGTCATTTTAGGAAAAAAAAATGCCATGCAAGATGCTTTCTTTCTTTTTTTTTTGAGATAGAGTCTCACTCTGTCACCCAGGCTAGAGTGCCGTGGTGTCAGCCTTGCTCACAGCAACCTCAAACTCCTGACTCCCAAAGAACCTCGCCTCAGCCTCCCAAGTAGCTGGGATTACAGGCATGTGCCAGCATGCCCGGCTAATTTTCTCTATTTTTGGTAGAGACAGGTCTTACTCTTGCTCAGGCTGGTCTCGAACTCCTAAGCTCAAGCAATCTCCCTTGCCTCGGCCTCCCAGAGTGCTAGGATTACAGGCATAAACCAACATGACTGGCCCCACCATTCAATTTTTATCTTAAAGTGAATTATTACAAAAAGATTAATAATTTAGAATTTTTTTCCCTAGGCAAAAACTTTATTACAGCAACGTAATGTACACATCACCGCCTCACTTGTAAGGAGTACAACAAAAAGGGAAAAGACCAAGGGAAAACTGGAGCTTCCAATTTAATTCTTTTTTTTTTTTTTTTTTTTTTTTGAGACAGAGTCTCACTTTGTTGCCTAGGCTAGAGTGAGTGCCGTGGCGTCAGCCTAGCTCACAGCAACCTCAGACTCCTGGGCTCAAGCGATCCTTCTGTCTCAGCCTCCCAAGTAGCTGGGACTACAGGCATGCGCCACCATGCCGGGCTAATTTTTTCTATATATATTAGTTGGCCAATTAGTTTCTTTCTATTTATAGTAGAGACAGGTCTCGCTCTTGCTCAGGCTGGTTTTGAACTCCCGACTCGAGCAATCCGCCCGCCTCGGCCTCCCAGAGAGCTAGGATTACAGGCGTGAGCCACCGCGCCCGGCCCAATTTAATTTCTAACTACAACTTCTAGGACAACTTTGAGGTTGCTGTGAGCTAGGCTGACGCCACGGCACTCACTCTAGCCTGGGCAACAAAGCGAGACTCTGTCTCAAAAAAAAAAAAAAACTAAAAAAACCATCAGATGAAAATGAGTTAGAAACATGTTTTGTGAACCTCTCTACAGTCATTGAATCAGTGGAAGTAAACTATATCTGTAGTTAAGATTAAAAGATTAACCTTTTAAGATTAACCTAAAGTATTTTCATAAATCGTTGACCATAAGTTTTTGTGTGCGTGTGTGCTGTATTTGGTAATTTATTTATTCTAATTTGCTTATGATAAGGAAACCACCTTCTATTACTTTGCGCATGCGCCACCTGGGACCCCCACCCCCAACGGAAGCCCCACATCAGCATAATACTAACCTATTACCTGGCGAGTATGAACTCACCTATTACCTAGCCAGCTGAGACCCCACCCCTCAGAACATCCCAACTTAATAAAAGTGGGAAAAATCAGGTAGATGGGGATCAGAATTTGGAGGCGAGACCCCTCTGAGCCTGCCAGCAAATAGACTTTCATTCTCCAACTCTCCGTGTGCAGCTCGGTTTATCCTCAGGACCACCCACTGTAACACTTGCTGTAATATTTTGGTTCCCTGATCGGGAAAACCGACCTCCCTGGCCCCTTGAAACCACCTGTTCGAGATGGGCACAGCGACCAGCAGGACCTAGGGGACAGAAGCGAACCAGCGCCAACCGCCATTTTGCGGAATATCTTCCCTCCTCCGGAGCTCCCGCCAGCTGCAGGGTCCCGAACTCTCCTGGACGTGCTGGACGGACGGACGGACAGACAAGTCAAATCGGGTCTGGAGGCATCCGACCAGGTAAGGTGCTGGGATCCCTCGGGTCAGGCCCGTCAGAGGAAGGAAGAGGAGCTTGATCACCTCCTGAGTGCGGGGAATTCCCAGCGCGGGAACGTGTAACCTCTGCCTGACTCAATGAGTGAGTGAAGAGTGAGTGAAGAGTGTTTGTGGTTCCATGGCTATGGAACTTGAGTGGGTCCTTACCTGTGGTTCTGTGTCCTACAGCATAAAGGTGATCGACTTCTGTAAAGGGAGTGAGCAAGCCTGGGGTTTATATGGGTACACCTTCGCCAAGACGCGCCTAAGTTCCCCAGAGGGACACCTGAGCAACGTCCCTCCCTTTGTCTGTTAAGCTGCGACACCGTTCAAGGGTTAGGATGGGTAGCGTAGAATCTAAGCCTACAGTCCTTAAATGCATGTAAAAGAACTTTAAGAAGGGTTTCACAGGAGATTACGGGGTCACACCGAGTCCCAGTGGACTTAGCGCCCCCTGTGAACACCAATGACTCATTTCCGGTCGACTGGCCCGCAACAGGAACCTTAGACCTCCCCACCGTGCGGGCAGTTTGGAGAATCATCACCGGGACTCCCAGCCACCCCGACCAATTCCCTTATATAGATTCATGGCGAGAGACTGCTCAGACCATGCCCCCTAGGGTCTGGTTCCGTGCTAATAAGGGACAGTGCAGGATTTTTGTGGCCCAAAGGACCAGAGACTCCAAACTGTCTAAACCCATCTATCAGGAAGCTCCTGAAGAGGGCCCATCGCCAATGCCCTACAACTCTACCGTGAGACACCTCCTGAAGTACCCCCGAATCCACCAGACACCCCGTCACTGTCAGTCTCCCCGCCACCTGTTCCGGACCAACTGGGTGCCGACACTGGCATCATCTGCCAGCTATGGTCAGCTCAGGCCCCAACTTAAGTCCCCAGATGCCCCTGCGTGACGTGCCAGGTCCGATGAAGGTTACTGGCAATGGGTCCGTTCAGCCAGGTCAGCCAGTCCTGTGCTACCAGCCCTTCTCCAGCACTGACCTGAACTAGAAGCACCACACCCCACCTTACTCCGATAAACCTCAGGCCCACTTTTACCTCCGGGAATCCATCTTTCAGACCCACCATCCCACTTGGGAAGACTGCTGCCAGCTCCTGCTGACCATGTTTAACACAGAAGAACAATGAGGGATTGTAGCTGAGACTCAGAGGTGGCTCCAGGACCAGGCTCCAGCAGGGACCTTGGACGTGGAGCAGTGGGCACAGAGAGCAGCACCCAACAAAACCTGGATTGGGATTTCAACTCCCTGAGCGGACAAAAGGCACGGGGAAGGTATAGGGAAGCTCTCCTCCACGGGGTCCGGGAGGGAGCCGGAAACCCAACCAACAAGAACAAAGTCGCTCTGATCACTGAGAAACTGGAGGAATCACCAAGCGAATTCTAGAGCGCCTTTGTGAGGCATACCGCGTCTACACACCCTATGACCCAGAGGCCGCCAAAAATCAGCATATAGTGAATGCCGTAGTTATTGGGCAGTCCCATACTGACATCCGAAACTTGATGGGTTTGCAGGAATTACGCAGCTGATGGAAGTGGCCCAGAAGTTCTATGTTAATCGAGACTGGACCATCCAGAGAGAGAATGACAAGAAAATGAAACAGAAAGCTGCTCTCCTGGCCACTGCGCTCCGAATACCTGACCCAGCCAAAAACCTGGCCCACCACTGGAAGGAGGATTCAGGAGACAAGGGACCAGTAGGCCTATTGTAAGGAGTTTGGTCACTGGAAGCATGAATGCCCCAACAGAAGAAACCCCCCACTGCCAAATAGGAACCTGCCTAGGGGCTTCCAGCAGGAGCCAGAGACCCAGAAGCTCATGGGTCTCACTGGGGTAGACTGGGAATAGTACTGACCAGGTTTCCTGACTCTTGGCCCCCCGGGATCCTGTGGTCGTAATGGAAGTAGGGAGGCCGACCAATGACGCTCCTGGTGGACACTGGGACAGAACACTTTGGGGGTAACCACCCCAATGACTCCATTTATGAAGCAGGAAACCACTATTGTGTGAGCCACTGGAACTCGAGTAGCTTGACCCTTCTGCTAGTCGCAAATATGCAAGATGGGAGGCCACTAGATAAGACATGATTTCCTATAAATACCGGACTGCCCCATTCCCCTCCTAGGTCAAGATCTCCGGAGCCAACTGGAAACCCAGATTACCTTCCACATGGAAGGGACTTCGAGCCTCAGGCTCGGCACCTCAGAGACTCCTATAGTGGGGCTGGGCACAGTGGCTCACGCCTGTAATCCTAGCACTCTGGGAGGCAGAGACAGGCGGATCCTTTGAACTCAGGAGTTCAAGACCAGACTGAGCAAGAGCGAGACCCCATCTCTACTAAAAAAAAAAATAGAAAGAAATTAGCTGGACAACTAATATATATAATTAGACGGGCATTGTGGCACCTGGCTGTATTCCCAGCTACTTGGGAGGCTGAGGCAGAAGGCTTGCTTGAGCCCAGGAATTTAAGGTTGCTGTGAGCTAGGCTGATGCCATAGCCCTCTAGCCCAGGCAACAGACTCTGTCTCAAAAAAAACCAAACAAACAAAAAAAACACTCTCATAATGGCTGTCACCATACCCTGGGAATGGGAGTGGAAGCTATATGATGAGGCCAAAGAGAAACAGAACCCGCCTGAATTCCAGCAGGATTTTCCGTTGGTGTGGGTGGAGGACAAGCCACTGCCCACCCTCACCCCTACCCACTCCTTGCCGTCTTGCACACCAACATGCACTCCTGGTGATCAAGATGAAACCAGGAGCCCAACGGACCAAGTGACGACAGTACCTCATCCCCAAGGAGGCTGCAGAGGGAATTCAGGAACACATCTATAGGCTCAAGTGGGAGGGGATTTTGGTGGAGTGCCCATCTGCACGGAACACTCCCCTCCTGCCAGTCAAAAAGCTCAATAGGGTTTGCCAGCAGCCCATCCAAAACCTGTGACTGATTAACGAGGCTGCAGTGACTCTCCACTCAGTGGTACCGAATCCATTCACCTTCCTGAGCCTCATTCCTCCTGATGCTGCCTGGTTCTCCTGCTGGACTTGAAGGATGCTTTCTTCTGCATGTGGCTCGCTCTGAAGAGCCAGCCCCTGTTGGCCTTTGAGTGGAAGGATCTTCAGACTAGAAGGAAAACCCAGCTGACCTGGACACGACTACATAAGGATTTAAAAATTCACCAACTCTATCCGGGGAGGCCCTAGCCACTGACCTCATCTCCTTTCCACAAGAAGAAACCCGCTGCACACTTCTACAGTACGTCAGTGACCTCCTTCTAGCAAGCCCAACTAGAGAAGACTGCCACGGGGGAACCCAGTGCTTGCTCCAGTTACTCACTGACAAAGGATACAAAGTGTCAATGGAAAAAGAAGAGACCAAACTCTGTAAAATAATTTTCAAGAGGTTTACTCTGAGCCAAATTTGAGGACCATGACCCAGAGCCACGCTCAAGAAGCCTTCAGCAAGTGGACTGGGTGTGGCTGGGTTACAGTTTGGATTTATACATTTCAGTGAGACAGGGGTTACAGGTAAAGTCATAAATCAATATGTGGGACGCATACATTGGTTTTCCCCCAAAAGGTGGGCCATCTCGAAGTGGGGGGGGCAGCTTCTAGGTTACAGGTGGGTTAAAGATTCTTTGACTTGTAATTGGTTAAAAGACAGGAAGCTTTATCTAAAGGCTTGGAATGTTTTAACATAAGAAGCTATTTATCAGAGATAAGTCACCAAACATAGATTTGTTGTGTAAATTGAGGACCCACAGGTTTGCCTTGCATGCCATTAGGCCTGTTAATGGTTTACAAAGGATGTCTCCAAGATGGAGGAGGGGCAGGATGAGGCCTGTCTGACCTCCTTCCTCCCGGCAGGCAATCTAATTTTGGGATATCCCTTTGGCCATGAGAGTGTCCATTCAGTCAGCTGGTGGGAGGTAAGCCTTAAAATTTTATTTTAGTTCACAAAGGTCTCCTGAAAAAAGGCACAGATCTGCAGGTAACAGGTAAAGTACCTCGGTTTCCATGTCACGCAGGGACACCAGACACTGGGATATGAATATAAGCACCCCATCTGTACAATTCCCAGGCCGACCAGTCAGAGACAATTCAGACCAAAGACACAAAGGCTAAGCTTATTAAAATAGCCTCAGTAACAGAGTCAACTTATAAAAGGCCAGATGTTACTGGCATACAAAAGGTCACTGAACCCCTGGAAACCTCTCCCCTAATAACCTGGTTCCTCAATATGACCCTCCAAACCCTATCCAACCATACTTCATGTTGGGTCTATTTATCCCTCCAGAAATGGGTCTATATTGGGGTCCCTGTGACTCTGGGCTGGAACTCCAGCATCTTGATCCCAGGCCCAAACAAAACAGCCCTGTTGGGTCCAGTAGCATACAATGTCCGCTTAGCCATAACTTCCCACCTGAATATCACTTGCGTTACTAATGCAAGAGAGAATGAAATATTGGGATTTATGCCAGGTGAACTCGGCACAAATAATGAAACCTTACCCAGCAATGCCACTGCTACTTGCTCCCGGGATGGCATATTCTTTCTTTGTGGAGACATTGCCTACCTCTGCCTCCCAGGAAACTGGACCAGGACCTCCACCCAGGTCTTCCTCACCCCAGATGTTTCTATCTTTGAAACCCAACAACTGGAAGCTGCACTAAGCTCCCACCCAAACACCCAGAAAAGACAGTCATTACTTGCATTGATCCTTATGGGGGAGGAATTGCTGCTGGGATAAGAGCAGGAGTAGGTGGCCTAGGAACATCCCTGAGCATCTACCACAAGTTATCTCAAGAACTAAATGAAGACATGAAACAAGTAGTAGATCCTTAGTATCCCTCCAGAGTCAACTGAACTCACTAGCAGCAGTAACCTTACAGAATAGATGGGCCTTAGACCTACTCACTGCTGAAAAGGGGGGACCTATATATTTCTAGGGGAAAAGTGCTGGTACTATATAAACCAGACAGGAGTAATAACCACAAAAGTCAGGGAGCTAAAAAAAAAGTCCAAAAACACCTCCAAAATTAAAATAAACCTGGGGTTTCAATGTAGGGCAATGGTCTTCATGGCTACTACCTCTGGCCAGGCCACTAATAATTATTCTCTTCCTTGTCACCATAGGCCCCTACAGACTGAGAGCAATTATAAAATTCATAAAAACAACTGTATTCCGACAAGCAACAGTTCACATAATGGCCTCAGAAGGCTGTTACCCACTGGGAAGTGATGCCTTATGATATACCTATAAGAGCATCAAAGAGGGGAATGATAAAGGAAACCCCTATCCATTACCTGGGGCATCAGCTACCTGAGACCCCCACCCCTCATGGAAGACCCGCATCAGCATAATACTAAGCTATTACCTGGCGCATCAACTAACCTATTACCTGGTGAGGCATTAGCCACCTGAGACGCCATCCCTCAGACCACCCCAACTTAATAAAGTGGGAAAAATCGGGTATACGGGGCTCAAAATTTAATGACGAAAGCCCTCTAAGCTCGCTGGCAAATAAACCTTGATTCTCTGACTCTCCATGTGCCACTGGGTTTGTCCCCAGAACCACCCACCATAACACTTACTATAACAGCCTAAAATGTCAATAATGCCCAGGTTAAGAAACCCTGACCTACAGATACTGAGCTCAGTCTGAACCCCTTTCTTCTATTTCCTGCTGCTGATTCTGCTCATTTCTAATGGGTACCCTCATCTCTGAGTCCTGGCTCAGCCTGGTCTGGGTCATCCTACTGCCAACCAACTGTTCTTTATAAAGGTTGAAAACTGTTGATCTGTAGGTTTAAAATGGCTGAAAAAGTGTTCCAGGCCGGGCGCTGTGGCTCACGCCTGTAATCCTAGCTCTTGGGAGGCCGAGGCGGGCGGATTGCTCAAGGTCAGGAGTTCAAAACCAGCCTGAGCAAGAGCGAGACCCCGTCTCTACTATAAATAGAAAGAAATTAATTGGCCAACTGATATATATATAAAAAAAATTAGCCGGGCATAGTGGCGCATGCCTGTAGTCCCAGCTATTCGGGAGGCCGAGGCAGGATTGCTTGAGGCCAGGAGTTTGAGGTTGCTGTGAGCTAGGCTGACGCCACGGCACTCACTCTAGCCTGGGCAACAAAGTGAGACTCTGTCTCAAAAAAAAAAAAAAAAACAAAGTGTTCCAAAATGTTTAATGTAGATGCTAATATTTAAACATTGAGAGATTTCACAAAAAGATTCCAGTGTTTAGCTTATTTTGATAATTTATATTTTCTGTTATTAATGGCCCCGAATTTCTTACAGAGGCATTTAAATTCCTCTTTATTGATTTTATTTTTATTTAGTGTTTTGGAGACAGGGTCTGGCTCTGTTGCCCTGGTTAGAGTGCAGTAGTGTCATCATAACTTACCACAACCTCAAATTCCTGTGCTCAAGTGATCCTCTTTGTCTTAGCCTTACAAGTAGCTGAGACTTTAGGTACATATCACTACACCTGGCTGATTTTTCTATTTTTTGTAGAGAAGAGGTCTCACTATGTTTCCCTGGCTGGCTTCTAACTGCTGCCCTCAGTGAATCCATCCTTGGCCTCCCAAAGTGATCGGATTACTGGTGTGAGCCATGGCGCCTAGCCTGAATTCCTCCTTAAACAATGTATGTACTTTCTTGTTTGCCATAGTCACCATTAGCTCCAAATCACTTATTTATGATACTTTCCAGAATGCTGTCAGCAGTTAAATTTGAAATTTGCACTAACACTATGCCTTTGTATATGTTAAGAAGTAAAATTATAGAAAAAATTAAAACTGCATGTATGAGAGAATGCAAATGAAGTATGTGATAATGCAATCTCAAAGTGATATTTGTGATCTCTAAGTAAAAATGTAGTTTACAAAGAAAGTTTACTACCTTATGTAACTTAAATTTAAGGGCCTATAGAGATGTCTCTTTACATTATTAAAAATTAGTATTATACTGTATAATCCATCATGTTGTGGTATACTAATCTGTTTACTTTTGGTAGGATAAGAGATAAAGGACAAAAGAGATACAGAAAGAAAATGGGTAGAAATTTTTCCTCAATTTAATCGTGTGTGCGTGTGTGTGTGTGTGTGTGTGTGTGTGTGTTTGTGTGTGTGTGTGTGTGTGTGTGTAGATATATATAAACACATATATATGTATATATGGAGAAAGAAAAAGAGATGGACATATATATATGGCGATATATATGGAGATATATGTTTATATATATACACACATATACATATATACATACACATATATTTTTTGAGTGGTGATGGGAGAATGTGAAAGAAGGCTTGCGGTGAACTGGAGAGATGTCTCCTGGGCAATAGTAAGGAGCTGTGTTGGGCAGTAAGCAGAAGTGAAGATGAACAGTAGGCAGACATTAGGTTTTAAAACCCAAGTTTAATAGAAACAAGAAATGTTATTTATTAAATTGGCAGGGTCAAGTGGTCTTGGCTGGCAGTGACTTTCCATTGAGATGTCCACATAGTTTTCTCAGTTTGGAAGAGCACAATAACAATGCCAGGATGAGGCTTTTAGACTTGACTGAAAAGAGGAAATAGCTGCTGTATTTGTCTTGAACCATATGTGCTGCTGAAAGGTAAATAAATAATTGACTAAAATAAAGATTAATAAAGATCTCCATGATCATAAAATCTATGAGTAGCTACTTAACTGCCAAGCTGCATGGGAGACGGGGATGTATCATGTGGGTCACCCAACTCTGTTAGAAATGTGTGAAAATGCATGGTGTGGAGCAAAGTTCAGAGAACCTCTCTAAAGTCTCTGACTTGGTTTTCAAAGAATACGAAGGGGCATATTTACTGCAGGGATTCAGCTGCTGTGAAAACCCAAGTTATTACATTCCTGGGTTACTTTTACCCAGATACTCAAATAGCAAATCATCTAGTTCTGGAGCACTGAAGTATTTATTGAATTAAACAAATTGGTTTCTGATCTATTGAGATTTAATAGATTGTAAAGCTGAAATTCTTTTCTAAATAAATAAATTTCACTGCAAGAGTTCTGGCAGAAAGTGTGGTGATAAATCATCTATAAAATTCAGATGATTTGGGGGAAGGACATCTGGGAGAAATGTGTATCATTACACTTTTTTTTTTTTTTTTTTTGAGACAGAGTCTCACTTTGTTTCTCCGGCTAGAGTGCCATGGCGTCAGCCTAGCTCATAGCAATCTCAAAGTCCTGGGCTCAACCAATCCCTTTGCCTCAATCTCCCAAACAGCTGGGACTACAGGCATGTGCCACCATGCCCGGCTAATTTTTTCTGCATATTTTGTTTTCCAGCTAATTTCTTTCCATTTTTTCTTTTAGTAGAGATGGGGTCTCTCACACTTGCTCAGCCTGGTCTCGAACTCCTGAGCTGAAACGATCCTTCCGCCTCAGCCTCCCAGAGTGCTAGGATTACCCGCCCAGCCTCATTAAACTTTTAAAGGTGACTTTAGAGGAGGCTTGGCTATGGAGGGAAACATTTTGTTCATCTACCTTGACCAAACACAAAGATCCCTTCTGGCAGAACATTTGGTGAATGCAGAGAGGTTTAATTTTGTCGCATATTGTTGAGTTAGATGGGTTTTCATGGACCATTGCAAAAAATGTGTACCAAACAGGAATCTTAAGGAAGTTTAGGCTCTAACCTACTTTGAGTTTTTGTTTTGTTTTGTTTTGGGGGTTTTTCTTTGTTTTTTCCCTTTGTGTGGGAAGATCTAACCTACTGCGAACAGAGGGAAGGATTTAATGTTGCTGACCTTTGTCTATGCAGATTGCCTGTGTAGAGTTCCCCATACCCTCCTGTAAAAAGAATTCAGGAGTTGAATGTGCCTCCTGTTAAAACCATGGAGGCCCTTGGGGGACCATCTATTTTGCCTCTGATTAGATAACAGGAATGAATAGAAAGAATCAATGGACTTGAAAGAGAAATTCTCTGATGAAAACCACAAATCCTTGACCCACCAAATATGTTTGGTCAGCAAACTGTTTTTCAAGGGCTGTCTTCTTAGGGAAGAAAGATTTTTTGAAATATATGTGGGGAGGGGGAGGGTATTTGGGACAGTGCTCAGTATTTTCTATTAACTAACATAAACTATGTACCACACTCCAGAATGTATTTAAGATGTTTGGCACCAGTAAAGTATTTTGCTGCACTTTGGATGAACAATCTCTGCTTGGAAGGTGTCGAAGCATAGCAATGTTTTTTGGTTTTGTTTTTTAGAAACAGGGCTTCTCACTATGTTGCTCAGGTTAGCCTTGAACTCCTGACCTCAAGTGATACCCCTGCCTCAGCCTCCTAAGTAGCTGGGATTAACAGCAACAGTTTTATAAAGATACCCTGTTTATTCACCCAACTTGAGCAAAGGGAATTTAAATTGAAACTGAAGGTTGGGCATGGTATTGAGGGCTCCTGCTGAGTGGCAGGTGGTAAAACAATGATTGTTAGATTGTATCCTTGCCACCTCAAGCCCTGGCATGCCTATCCTTTAATAGAGACACATCTTGCCTATCTGTAGCTCCCATGTCTTTTATTGCTTAATGCCAGGCATTAAGACAAGTGACAATATTCTTTGGTATATTAGGAAGAATAAAAACATTTTGATTTGGCTGCAGAAGAAACAACATAAAAGGGAGTGTTCTGATGATGAAGGCCTTTGAATGTCATGCTTAAGGATTTGTATTTATTCCATTGCCAGTTGGGAGCAAGTAAAAATGTTTGCAGCAGGGAGTGACATGGCAGAATCTTTGTTTTTGTAAAGATCATCTGGTAGCAGTTTGGGAGATGGATTGGAAAAGGATTTGAGTGGAAGTAAGGCAATCATTTAGGAGATTAAAGTCAAAGATGGAAGGGCCTTCAACAGTGAGAGAATGGGATGAGGGAGACATAAATGAGAGACATTGATTGGAGAAATGAATAGGATCTTTCAGGAAGCTTAGCTGAATTGAGTATAACCTTCACAATAGCATTTTTATTGAGTTGGTATTGAAAATCTACCTTGCATAGAAAGGCTAGCTAATTTTAGGCATACAAATGTTTTATTCAGTTTTAAAGGCAGAGAGCTTGGGAGAGAGAAAGAGAAAGTCTTTTCCTTTAAAAAAATATAATTGAATCAAGTGGAAATGAAACAATACCTATTTTCACTATGCTGGGATCAAGTTCTCTTTCATAAAAGGCATTTGCAGGCTGATCTGCATGTCTAATCCCAATGCTTCATTTGGACAGATTGAGAGCAGAACAAAGCACATATTTGGAAATATGTACCAGTTGTTTCAATGCTCCACCCAGACATTAATGTCCCAACTTGTACAATCTGCACAGCACCCTTGATTGCTGGGAGTAAAGAATTATCCTTGGGTCAAAGAGAAATTTTTAGGCCTAACTCCTTTGCAAGACTTTAAGATAATTAACACGCAAGTTTAACTTAAATATCAGGCAATATAGTGGTTTGTGGGTTATGCAGTCAGACTGCCTGCTTTCATATCCCAGTCCTACCTCTGCCAGCCTGTGGGATCTTGAACAAATCGCCTGCTACCTCAAAAACCTTAGTTTCCTCACTTGTAAAATGGGAACAGCAATAGTACTTAACTCATAGAGCTGCTGTGATCGCATGAAGAAATCTTCAAAAAGTGGTTAGTTCAGTGCCTGGCACATAAAGCAGACTCAGTAATTGTAGGTATTATTTGGGTTGTGAATATTTTCAAAAAGAAAAAAATTATAGGTATTGATTATTACTAGTTTAGGACTAAAAGTAGTAGAAAATAGAAGGGAAAGTAGAACGAGTGAGATTTCTTTGTTACTTCAAGAGAAAAGATTTTCAGTAGAGATTTAAAAACATGTTTTGTCTTGTGGGTTTCATATCTTAAAAAATATTGAATCTGTGAGGAGTTCACACATTATTATATGCCTGCCTTCTGAAAGCATCAGAGTGATGAGAAAATAGAATGCTGTATAACAGCGGTCCCCAACTTTTTTGGCACCAGGAACCAGTTGTAAATACAGATGAAGCTTGTTCTCTCACCTGCTAGCCTGCCGCTCGTCTCCTGCTGTGCAGCTGGCTTCCTAGGTTTCCTGAAAGACAATTTTTCTACAGTGTGTGTGCCTCTGTGTGTGTGAGAGAGAGAGAGAGAGAGAGCTCTGCGCCTAGCAGGCCACAGAGGGGGGGTTGGGGACTGCAGCTGTATAGCATTATATTTCTCTTCTCTATTTTTTTTTTTACGAAACTGTTTCTTCACCTTTGATTAAAGGATATAGTATAGGTCTTTTTTTTTTTTTTAAAAAACAGATTCTCACTCTGTCACCCTGGCTAGAATGCAGTGGCATCATCATAGCTCACTGAAAGCTCAAACTCCTGGGCTCAAGTGATCCTTCTGCCTCAGTCTTCTGAGTAGCTAGGACTACAGGCTAGTGCCACGAGGCCCGCTCATTTTTCTATTTTTAGTAGAGACCGGGTCTCACTCTTGCTCAGGCTGATCTCCAACCCCTGAATTCAAGCGATCCCCCCACCTTCCCACCTCCACCTCCCAGAGTACTAGGATTACAGGGGTGAGCCACCATGCCCGGCCTAGTCTAGGTCTTTCACTTCTCCCCAAATTTTAAATCTCAACTCTAAGAAAGAATT